TGCAATTCGATTAGTTTCTATTTGAGTTTGGTATTAATTTCTCGATTGTTGAACTTATGTAGATATGTGCAAAGGGCCTTTTTCATTCATGTCTTTTTATGATCCATTGAACCACTTCTACTCTATCAGTGAATTAGACCATTTCACCTTGATCTCTGCATCAGTTGACCCATGTAAACTATTTATTTATTATATTAAATGTTGCTCATTCACCTAGTGTGCATGGGAAGGGAACATGTCGGTTGCTCGAGTATGGTAGCATGAGATGTTTCCCAGAATCACAATGGACCAAAAAGATCACATGTCATTACTATTGCATTGCAGATCTAGACTTCAATATATTGCGTATCTACATAGCTGAAGGCTTTGCACTGAGTAAACAAAAGACATGGGGTATGATGCCATGCACAAATGCAAAATGGTAGCAACCCATTCTGAAGCAATAAACTTCTCTATGCCCGGATGCATCCTACTTTCATGATTGGATGCTCTTAACTTAGGGAGCTAGCTTCCCCCACGATGCCAAACTACTCCGTCTGAAAAACCAAGCCCTGGTCGGACGAGCCAATAACTCGAACGTGTTCGGTCAGATTTTTTAGCAAGAATCACATCGTTATCTTATCTTCACCATGATAAGGACTCCAAGTTCTTATGGTAGAGCACAATGCCACAGGACACCACGGTGTTCCTATATGTGTTGCTAATTGGTAAGGACGAGAAGAGTTGGACTGATGCGAGCGAGTTCAAGCCCAAATATATTAAGGGCAAGAAGGTGAATTGTGGTGGTACAGACTTCAAGTTCCACCTGGTGGCATTAAATAGAGAATGTGCCCCTATATGATGTTTGGATTGTCAAACATGGAGATTGCTCTTCCAAGCTGACGGCGTCCCAGATTGGGGGTCACACACCATGTCCTCTCCCGACCAGGTCAGTCGGGCGAAGGACCCCCATATCGGTTCACCAGTGGGCCATATTGAGGCAACCCATGGCGTATAAAAGTAAGGCTCCCAAAGACTTCACGCATACTCCAAGATATTAGAAGTCGTTGAGAACACATTCTTCTTGTACGTAACCGACTAGCTGTAACCATAGACCCCGTGATACCTGTATAAACCTAGGGGTAGGGCTCGTAGATGACAAACAAAAATCTTGTGGTAAAATCACCTATACTTCGTGCTCCATCCGATATTCAATAGAAACACAAGCAAGGCCCAATGTAGCTGCATCATGTCTTAGATTAAGCTCATCAGCAATGCCAGCCAGTCAGCCACGAGTCGTCTCTTCTCTATGGATCTCCATTGCTTGTGCTCAATCGATTCTTGCATTGTTTAACTGTTGTCCCAATGTAGCTGCATCATGTCTTAGATTAAGCTCATCAACAATGGCAGCAAAGTTATGGAGGACGAGGTGGACAATGATGCCGAACGTGAGCAGAGGGGGGACATACTCACTACTCTGCTCTGGTTCCAGAAGGACGGCGGGATTGGCGGCGTCGCCCTCACCGATGAAAACATCAGCGGCGTCCTCTTTGTGAGTCACCAGTCACCACTAGCTACCCAAGACCATGGTTTAAAACTGGACCCCCCCTTATCTGGCGACCATCGACTGGGAGGGGTGGCATTTGTAAACATTTTGATGGAGTTCTAGTTGGTCGGGGTGAAAGTTTCTTCATAAGAGCATGTCATTTTCTGGAGTGAAGGCCCAAAACTGCTATCCTCCCAGAAAATGCCATGTTGTTCTAAAGAAACTGTCGCCCCCGACAGAACTAAAACTACCAGGAAAAACGTTTGAAAAGCCATGCTCTCCCATCGAACGGTCACCAATTAGCTTTTCTGTTAAAATTTCAGTAGCAGAATCTTTTTGGCAACAGTTGATATAACCAAAAGGTTGGCACCATATTACTTTGGGATCTTGTAGGAATTTCGGATTTTTTTTTGGATTTTGATGAAAATCTAATTAAATCAGATGAATTTTGCCCATTGTAACATTTGGCTTGAAATTAGTTTAATATGGTACAAAATTTCAATGTTAGAAATATTCCATTACCCACCATAATTACCAGAAATTTGCAAATTTTACTGAAATTTTGAACCCTGCTAGCTACCACCTTTTGCTTGCTATATGATATTTCAGTCTCACATATTTACGTGTGTGTCACCAGGACCTTTTCGCTGCAGGATCGGAGACGACAGCCACAACAACAATTTTGGCAATGTCCGAGCTGATGAAGAGCCCACACATAATGGCCGCCGCACAGTTGAAGTTCGGCGAGTCCTCCACGGCAAGACCGATGTGACTGAGGCCGACATCGATGGCCGGCTGCTACCTGCAGATGGCCATCAAGGAGACCTTCAGGTTGCATCCACCGGTGCCGTTGCTAATGCCGAGGCATTGCACTGAGCAAACAAAGGTCATGGACTATGATATTCCACAAGGCACAACAGTATTCGTGAATGTGTCGGCAATCGGTAGGGACGAGAATAGCTGGACTAACGCAAGTGAGTTCATGCCCAAGATGTTTGACGGTGAAAAGGTTGATTATGGTGGTACGGACTTCAGATTCCTCCCTGGCGGCACTGGACGGAGAATGTGCCTCGATATGATGTTTGGAGTGTCAAACATCGAGATGGCTCTTGCGAGCCTTCTCTATCACTTCGACTGGAAGCTTCTCGATGGTGGGAACCCGGAGAAGCTTGATATGAGTGAAGCATATGGAATCACAGCTCGTCGTAGGACCGAGCTTGTGTTGGAAGCTACTGTTTTTGTGCCTTAGTTCGGTTTGTCTACGTGACCATGTCAATTTAATCAATGCGTGCATCGTTGAGCGCGGAGGTTGAGAGAGTATACTATTACTTATCTTACATGTCTATGTTGTGAAATTTCATATACAATTAAACATGCGTCATATTACAACACGAAATCTTGAAAACCAGATAGAAAAAGAGAGAGGACACATGTCCAGAAACAATTGCAAGAAAACTCCATTGAAGTAGAAATCTGCAATAGCCATCGTTGCCACTTGCCATCTTCGGAGAATAAGAAACACCATCGCCCATACAGGCTTTGTGAGCCGAAGAAAATGCCTTGCCAGCGTCGCTGTGGCGCGTCGACTGGGGATCATCCCCGTGCTCCTCGAAACCCAGATCCGCTGCCTACCGTCGATGTCGTCAAGGCAAAACACCAGAACTACCACCCACAAGCCTCCAACCTTGTTCTTGGACCTTCATCTTCTCCCAAAAAAACACGACACCACACGTGATGAGATCCACCATAGAAACAACAAACACCACCAGATCCATCAAAAAGGAGACGATGGAATAAGGTTCACACAGATCCCTTGACTTCACCACTAAGGACGTCATCGAGATGGGGTATTGTAATGTGTGTAAATGCTTGAGTGTTACTTCATATTTATCAAGTACGTTAACTTTATTATGTCCCAATACGCCCTTCCTGCTAAATGGCTCCCCTGGTCAAACAATAATGCACCAAAGAGGGCTTCGTCAGGGCGATCCCTTATCGCCACTCCTATTCATCATCGCCATTGATCCACTCCACCGTTTACTGCAAAGAGCTACTGAATTAGACCTCACTAGTCGGCAACCCGTGCGTTCGCACGGGCTAGTTATTTACAACTACGGTCCAACTATTTCATAACTCTTATGAAATTTATATATTACCAAGATAATAAATTCTTGAATTGATGATTGTTATACTAATTACATAAAATGGATGAGAGCTATATCACTTCATTATTTTGTATTTTCAATAATTATCAAGTGATTTTTCACATTTAACATTGAAAGCACTTGAGACGAAACTAATGATCTTAATTATATACTCTAAGTTCAAAAATAAATGTAATGGTAAAACCGAACTACTCAATTATCCAGAAGAAGGCTATTTGGCAGCACTGCACCGCAAGTGTTCCTTCGGCATATTCCACCTCGGTTCTCTCAAAATTAGCACTCCATTGAGAGGTGGATCATTATTAAACATACTTGAATATGCATATGCACACAAAGTTATCAAATCTATCGAGTTATAGCTGCCCAACAGTCCCACGCCATTCCGATGATGCTAATCACGAAAATAAAAGGGTATTGCAGTAAATAAGGGACCACTTTGTGTTATCTACTTGCACGACATGATGATGTCTAAGTGGAATGCACTTGGTAGGTAGAACATGCCAAGCTACTTAGGTAGTATGATACAAAGCACTTCAAGCTACGCTTACAAATCAAATAGCAGGAACAAAATGTCATTGTTTACCAAATATTGCATGCATAAAACAAAAAAAAATAGAAATGTTTTAATATCAGTAAAAGTACCCAGTTAATAATTTATCAGTCACACGAATGCCATATTGATCAATTTTCTAAGAAACTTAGTAATATGGTTATATAGCAGACATAATCTGTAGACAAATTTAGAAAACTCGTTCAGGTGAATTTGAATTTTTTTGGGGAATATATTATTATGAACCATGACATCACATTCTGATATGAAAAAAAAATGATCCGTAGACTTTAGTATCATTTGCAAATAAATATCAACACCATGTTGGCATTCTTGCAGAAGTGTAGAAAATGAGAACATGCCAATGTTGTAAAAAAGGTTCTTATGGCCAAATGAGAGAAACAATTTGTACAATAATTTCAGTTAACTCATGAATTGTCGCATAGTATATCATATACATCTCCCCAACAAAAG